TACATACATACATACATACATACATACATGGTATAAATACCGGAGTTATTTGAATTTGATTATGAAAGATACCATGAAAAAGTTCAATTTTTACTTTTCTGTACACTTAAAAAAAAAAAAAAAAACTTGACAGCTAGCCTACTAACTTTGTAAGAATGTAATTTATCTTGAATGAATGAATGAATGATTGAATTAAAAACAAATGCTGAAATAAAAGACTCTTCTTCCTAATAAAGAAGTGGTCGCCAACCTTTCCAGCTTGGGGGCCTGGCAGAAGGGGGGGGGGGATGGTTCTGTGGAAGCGGTAGGTGCTCCTAATGGAGCTTCGTGCATGAGTCACAAATAGAGCTTCACGCATGAGCACAAGCACCCACTGTTTTCACAGGTGAATATTCACCTGTTGCTAGCACGGCCCAGTTCCAAACAAGCTTGAAGCCCACTAGTGGGGACCTCTGTAATAAAGGCTACATGATCACTGTAGCTATATTCCAAGGAATGAGCAATGCTGAACTAATCTCTATTGTTATCAGTTGAGTATGGCACCTTTCTTTTTTTTCTTCATAATGTTTTCTTGAAAATACAGTGTCTTTTTTTTTCCACCCCTGGATCAATCAAGCACTGATCCAGTGGTTGTGACAGGAGCTGACCTTCTTGGCTTTTTGCCTGAGCTGGTCTTGTGGACTTGGAGTGAGGAATAGAATTGAATTAGAATTAGAATAGAATCGAATAGAATTCTTTATTGGACAAGGGTGATTGGACACACAAGGAATTTGTCTTGGGTGCGTATGCTCTCAGTGTACATAAAAAGACACGAAGAGATACATTCATCAAGAATCATAAGATACAACACCTAATGATAGTCATAGGGTACAAATAAGCAATCAAATCATGCTAGGGAACAATGAGTATAAATTGTAAGGATACAAACAACAACGTTACAGTCATACAGTCATAACTGGGAGGAGATGGGTGATAGGAACGATGAGAAGGTTAATAATAATAGTAATGCAGACTTAGTAAATAGTTTGACACTGTTGAAGGAATTATTTGTTTAGCAGAGTATGGCATTCTGGGAAAAATTGTTCTTCTGTCTAGTTGTTCCGGTGTGCAGTGCTCTATAGCGTCGTTTTGAGGGTAGGAGGGTAGGAGCAACTGGGCTAAAGACACCTGAGTCCTGAGTCTCTCGAGAGTGGGCGGCATACAAATCCTAATAAACCATAAACCGTAAACCTAGCTGGCTTTGATGGCAAAGACCGGGATGGAACTCACAGTCTCCTGGTTTCTAAGTTGTAGCTTTAACCACGAAACCAATCTGGCTCTCTTCTACCATTTTGTGACAGTAGGAAATTGAAATGAAGGCTATACATTGTCAATCATTCCTCAGTTTGCAAGACTGGAAGGACCAGTTTAAAGGAAAGTTCAAGACATGCATTAATGGACGGTCCCTCAGATGTGCTGAGATCTTGATAGCTGCCCAGTTGATGGTCCAGATACTCTTGCTACTATAACTGTAATAGTTTGTTAAATACTTGCAATAGCAATAGCAATAGCAANAATGTTATATGGCCCCGGTTCTGTACAGTATATGTGTGACTGTACGAAAATGAAAATGGAAAATAAAACTATCTAGATGACAAACAAAGAATAATTGAGCCCCTGATAATTTTGTATTTTTCCACCATTTCAGCTTTTATGGTAGAAAAAAAATTGCAGTCCCTAGATATGAAAAGAAAGAATTGTCACTAATCGTTCTCTGCAACTTAAAGATCCATCAGGGCATGAACTCTGCTTATCAATCCTCCAAATGTTTTACAAAACACTTTTTTAAAAAAGTATATAGAAATTTGCTTGTGTTTCCATTGATTAAAGCTCCATACAAAAAATAACCATTCACCTGTTCACACAACAAAGTTGTGTGTAGGGGAAAAAAAACTGCCACTTATTTTCTAGTTAAATATTTTATTTGTTATACCCACACACAGTCCTGCAGTACAGAAATCGGGAATAATACTTCTATGACTATGAAAAATCGATACCCCGCTATTTCTTTTGCAGATACAAGCAGCAATCATCCCAAACCCTTCCGACGCGTTAGACTTCAGCCTCCAACCTTAAGGGCTGGAGTCCGCGGTCGTCAGTTTAATAGGCACAGAGGTGAGTATATTTCAACCCCAGTGGGGCTTAGTTGAATAAGTTAATTACTGTTGAGAAAAATGAAGTATGGATTTTGACCCCAGCTATAGCTTGCATATTGTAAGAGAAGGAATAGCAGAACTTGGCGGCAGAGTGAAAAGAAGGATCAGCCTGGAATCCATAAGCAAACTAGATCTAATTCCCCTTAAATGCCATTGCTCCTTATCTAACTTATTCAGGTGCTGATCCTTAATTGAGAAGATTAGCAACAGCAATAGCAGTTAGACTTATATACCGCTTCATAGGGCTTTCAGCCCTCTCTAAGCGGTTTACAGAGTCAGCATATTGCCCCCAACAACAATCGGGGTCCTCATTTTACCCACCTCGGAAGGATGGAAGGCTGAGTCAACCCTGAGCCGGTGAGATTTGAACAGCCGAACTGCAGAACTGCAGTCAGCTGAAGTAGCCTGCAGTGCTACACTCTAATCACTGCGCCACCTCGGGCAGATTCCTGGGCATAGTGATAAATCATCTTAATTGAACCTTCCCATTCATACTTGACATGTATATATACCAACTGGGTTAATTGTTTCAGTTACAAAGAAAATTAAAACATTTAAAGAAAATGAAGAACAGAGTGTAGTAAAGAGATATGACTCACAGCAAATAGCAAAAAAAAATAAAATACATTATTAGATGGACAAAAAAGAAAAAGAAAAAGTGATTTCTTAAGCTGAAACTTTTTAAAAATTGAAAATCTCGTTAGAAGCAATATTTGCAGTTACATGAAGCTGTATGTCTTAAACATGGATGTTAATTTCACTTAATGGTAACTAAGACCTCATTTTTATTAATCATGTTGCCGTAATTTCCAGAATTCCCTAAACCTGTTCCCATTAATATTTGAATGAAGTTTAGGATATTCCCCATTCAGTTTCCAGATCTAGGTTTGGTTGAGATAGGTGTAATGGAATAGAATTCTCCAGTCCAAATTGAGGAAGTGATGGCTGTTAAGATTTTGACAGATATTCAAAATAAGATAGGGCATGATTATTTTACAGTAGTAATAGCGGCAGGGAAATTCTTGTAATGCAGATGGGTTAAAATATCAAGAGGCAAATAAACATGAATTGAAAGAAATATATAACTGCTATATCTTTCTTGCAGGTATAACTCATGCAATGGGTGGCAGAGGAGGCCTGAACCGGGGCAATATTAATTAAACGCTGTACAGATTTTGGAAATGGTGTATGCGGTTTAGTCTGCCTTTATTCTGCATTAGTATAATAGCTGCCAAGCTTAAAGCAGCCTTTTTTAAATGTTAAAAAAGGATTGTTGTATGAACATTTGATTGTCTTTTATTAATAAAAGCTAGAGAAACTGTCACACAGAAGCATTTCTTTCAGGTTGTTACTCTGCAGGACACTTGTACCAAGCGTTGGACACACTCTGCCCAGTTTGTGTTGTAACTGGTCTTGCTATTCTGCTGCCCACGTCCAAGCTGTAGTAGTTATCTGAAAGGGAATGGGACGGGAGAACAGGGTTGTTAAATCACGCCACACAAGTATTAACAGTCGAAAAACAATTTGATCCCGTAAATCCTCAGGGCCTTTTTTTCCATGCAATTTTGGTCATTTGGAAAAAAAAGCAATAAAACAGTTCCTCCTGCCTTGTTGCAGAGGAAAGCTTGGTGTATTTCATAGCGTGGCACGACAAAAGCACGCTCCACTAAAGCGCGCCTGATTAAACCGCGTCGCTGACGTCATCAGCAGGGCGACAACAGCGACCGCGG